TGTCTGTTAGTCCAGTACCCATTTGTCAGCCATACTCTCAAGTTTCTCATTACTTCAGAAAGTTATTACAATGATTACATTTAATATTCTCCATACTTTTCATATTTTTCTATATTTTCTATGTCATATTGAAATTGTGCATTCTTGAGACAATGCTTCTAAAACTGCATTGCTCGAGCTGTCTAATCTTATCAGATACAAAAATTTATTTTCCTTTATCTATCTAAATATGCCTTCAGATAACTATTTTTATTGTCTGGCATGTATTATTTTACCTTTATCTGTATTTATGGAAAGATATGTGAGACATGAAGAAATATACACTGCAGGTTGTCCAAATAAATAAATCCAATTGAAAATCATAGTGATCAATTCTGTAACCAAATAACATTCTTATTATTCCTGTATGAAACAGGATTTTAGTATTTTCACAGCATTAAAATTGTAGGTTGTTTTTTTTTTTTTGTATAAAGCCTTTTCCAAATCTGTTTGTAGTTTGAGTCTTCATTCTGCCAATGCCCTATATTCAAACAAATGCTGCAATTAGTCTCTAAAATCATGCTATTAAATAAACAAAAAAAAAAATCCAACATTTATTCTTATTTGTTTCCTGAATGTAGAGTCTCCTAGGCTTGTTTTTTCTCGACAACCAGTTTCTAGGATTGTTAGAAACTGTTTGTTTGCTTGTTTGTTTATTTTTAAATGAAAGCTGCAATTCACAGGTGTTCACATAACTCCTGATGAATTGTGTGAATGTTTTCATGCAGAAAACCAGCTATTTTTCTCAAACTCATAGCTATGAGACTATGAGAAGAAAAAGTAACATGAAACTCCAAAATTAATCCAAGGAACTGCAACTTTTATTCCAAAATATCCTTTATTCCAAAGGATAGCTATACAACAACTACCGGGAGTAACTATGAGGTATCTCAGATAATACCTTGTATCATAGAAATCTGAATGTGTTTAGATTATACTGTTCATTAATTGTCAGAACACTATGAAGTTCTAATTGGAATATTTGAAATACTATTACAAAATTATGAAAGGGAGGGAATTAATATTTGTTCTCAACAGAATTGTAAAAGAAAGAAATATGATTCACAGAGCTTGTTAGCCAGATCAGTATAAATGTATGTCAATACATTCTGAAATGGTTAGATGTCCTTCACTGCACATAACAGTAATATCCCTAGGACACAGCTGCAGCATGAGCTTAACTCAGAACTCCAGGCTTTACCTAAAGCTCATCAACAGAGAAACACACTGCAGAGGATTTCAGTAAGCATGAAATGCCAGCATGCCTGTCTACCTTTGAACCAGGATTTGGTACTTGACTCCTTGGGTTATTCCACAGAAACAACAAGCAAAGAGAATTACAGCCTCGTAGGAGCCACGCCACATCCCTATTTGGTGCCTGCAGTCCGCCAGTGCTAGGAGGGAATACAAGGTATTCCCTCAAAGAGAGTTTTTTCAATGTATCCTATGCTTCTTCACATCTGTTGTACCTGTCCTACATAAAAGATGAGAACTTGTATACACTGTATACATTGTATACATCCCTCAGTGGTGAAAATAGTGTGCAGAGTGACTGAGCTTTCACAGGGGCTGACACAGGGGCAGGTAAGGTGAACATCCTGCAGACTACACCTCCCTTCTCAGGGAACATGGCCATCATGGCCACATAAGAATCCAACGGATTCCTTCAGGCACACTTGCCTTCATCCCCTCCCCCCATTCAGAACAAGTTTTAGCTCTTAATTCTCATTAAGCAAATCAGTGAATAATAACTAGAACCATTGCTATTATTATAACATAGGGGACAAAACTGCTAAAAGACAATAGAGGAATTTTGTTTAATTCTAGAAAGTTGTGCATTTAAATATTTACTACAAGTAAATGTGCCAAGTGGAAACTACCCCTGCCAAATATTTGTTTCTTACTGGCTAGCTCCTACTGTGTCTGTCTCAGCATGTGAGAGCTTATCCAGTGGATATATAGTACTAAGTATCTTTTGCAAAAGAGTTAAATACTGTCCCTGTCTTTCTTGCTTTACTACACTTGCTTTGATCCTTCCTGAAAAGACTAACAATATCTACCATCTTTAGGAGATCAAAATTACAACCCAAGATATCAAATACCAGGCAGTCAACTTAATAGCAAACATACATCCAAAAATGCTGGCTAGCCAGGTTTTTCAATTAATTCAGTTAAATTTCAGTAATATTTTTCCATTCAGGACATGAGAGCAAACATTGGACAAACACACACAAAAAAAAACATTGTCAAGAAAGGACTATCATTGAGAACACAATCTAAGTGGCATTCAGGGAAGGACAAGTACTTCAGGACCAATTGCTGCCTCTGTCTCTCTTGCTCTACTCCCCCCACTTCCTCTAAAAATCAACCAGACATCATTGGTTGGATTTTGGGTTTGTTTTTTTTTTTCAAAAAAATGAAAAACCCTCTTTGAACACTCTAAAGTAGAATGGGAAAAAATGAAGACCACAAGCCTCCTTTTTTAATTACTGAGTTTAACTAGGTTAAAAAATTTAGAAACCTACTATTTTATAGCATTATATAGAAAAACATATTATATTACCTAAGAGCTACACAGCTATTTCTTAGTCCCCAGCTTGTCAGTAGCTCAGTTTTCAAGCACTATGTTATAGCGCAGGAACAACGTCTGGGATTCAGCATCTCAGCATCTTTCTAGATATATTTCTACAGATGTCCTAAATCAAACTAGCACTGCAAATACTTAAGTTTTTAAAAGGCAAATGTTAACTGTTATACCTCTAGCCATCTGGAAGGTTGTCATAGCTCCTACAGATCACTGAGTTCAAGTCCATCACCTCATCACAGTGGACACTTTTGGAGGAGCCATAATGCAATGTTGCCAACACTTGCAAGAGTTTGTATTTCTCTTACAGCCCCAGATTCCTGTAGCTCTCTAAAACTCCATTGTTTTTGCCTAAAAGAACTTCCAGTCCCTGAGGGTGATCCAGAAAAAACTAAATGTGACCAACACAACATGGCATCTCTAAAAGCTAAGACCTCAAGGAATATGTAGCCTGAAAACATCAGTAACATTAAACTGACTGCACCTTCTGCCACAGTACCATCAGCTAGAATTGTCTTAAGTATGAATCCTTGTATGCCTTTTCTGCTTGGGGCTCTCCTTCTTCCCTTTGGCCTCTCCATCTCTCAGATGCTACTTTTGCAGGATATACTGGCAATGACAGCTGAGCAGCACACCACTGCAACAACCTCATCAGTTCTGCTGTGAATCTGTTCAGTCTTTGGGAGAAGCGTGCTGCATGCAAGTGCATCTTTCTGAAGCACATGAAAAAAATCAGAGTTCCTAGTAGTTTATGCCAAGGTCTTACCTAGGAGTGTCCAGCTCCCCTTCATGCAGTGCTCTTTTACACAGTTTGCAAGGCATCACATCCACCATTAATCAGCAGTAAAAACTGGAGCCTGACTCAGAGAGAAGGTAAGTACACCTAGGTTTTCTCCTCAGTCCTGTACCATTTCCTGAACCTATCTTTGCAGAATTTGTGGCTCACTGGACTGGAAATCATTAAGAACAATGAGAAGTTCAGAGAACTAGTTACTGTTGGTGAAAAAAGGTGAGCACTCAGGTTATTATTACCAAATCTGGATTTTGTATTAATTCTTTTAAGCCCAGAATGGACACACCCTCTCTGCATTTCAGAGCAGGCATTTCAAAGGGAGGGCTGAGGTTCAAATCAAACCTAAGCATGGGATTTCACAGGCATCTCATTTGCAACAAAAGAGCAATCCCACTTAAGTGGAAGTGCCGACACGTGGAAGGGGAGCAGGTTTGCAATCTGCACTCCCTCACTGAGACCCCACAGGAGCCAGGCCTTTGGGGCTGTGCCCACTGCCTTACCCTAGAGACAGGCTCCATTCTCCAGGGCAGATGAATGGTATGTGTGGCATCAGCAGCACAAGGCATGCTGGGGCACCACATGGAGGGAAGCTGGCAACTGTGTGTAGCTGCTCTTGAAGAACCTGGAAATAAGGGTGAAAAATACAGACTAAAAAACCAAAATGAACAAAAATAGGATTCACTTCTGTTTGCACTGGGATGCTTAGCATGCAACCATTTATTTGGCAAGTTTGCTACAGTCTCACTGTATTAAAAAGTCTTTGACAGAGTTTGAGCTTTTCCTCCTCCTGCCAAGAAGTTTCAAAACCTAAACCAAATTAGGTGCTCCAAGTTTGTTAGAATTAAAATTAAACCAAAACACAATGCAGAAAGCATTGTTTCAACCGTTCCATGGGGAGAAAAGTAGCAAAGAGAACATAACAAAAACACAAACGTTTCCTTATTCCTTCCTAATTGCCTAATTGGTTTTGAGAAAGCTAAGTGATTCAAGAGTACTTTACAAACACCAGTTCTCTTCGAGCAGCATGCAGTGCAAGTTAAACCCTGTTAGCTCTAAAGCCAAGACTTCCTAGAACAGGCACCTAGCGTCGGGATCCAAAAGAGTGTTATTAGGCATCTAAACATCCTTCTTTTCTGTGTAATCTGAGGAGCTCCTGGCCCTAGGAGACCACAGGGTGCGTGCCTGAGGGGGTTAAACAGGGTCACTGATTTAATGTGGATTCAGAACCCAACTTTGGTCCTTTCGCAGTATTAGGGCAGGAGGAAGAGCAGGCGGAGGAAGGGCGGGCCACGGCTCCGTCTGCAACGCGCCTCGGCCGGGGTCAGACCCGCTCCGGGGGGCCTCGCACCGGTTCTGCATCTCAGTCCCTCCCCGGCCCACGCCCGGGCTGCTCCAGGAAAACTCCTCGGGACATCGTCACTCTCCGTCGGCCAACTCCATCCCAGGCACTTCCCGGCGCAGCCTGCCCGGCTCCCCCGCCGCTGGGGCAAGGGACGGAGTCGCGCGGTTGGGCTGAGCCCGGGGGCAGCCCCCAGCCGGCCCCCGCAGGGGCTGCCGCGCCGCCCGCCCCCCGCCAGCACTCACCATATTACAGATGGAGGCGATGTTTCTGACAGTCATTAGTCTAAAGGTTGCAGCGATCCCACACCGCCATCTTTATAAGGTGAAAACAGCCCCGCTCATGGTGGGAAGAGCGCAGGAAGGGATAGGGGGCGGCGGCGGCTCCTGCTCCGGGGCTGGGATAAAAGCAAGAGGAGGGGACTGCACCGGCACCCTTTGCGCCCGCAGAACAGCGAGAAGGACGGACCTTCCCGGCCTCCCTCCTCCGGGCGAGTGACCGGGAGCTTCAGCAGCGCGGGGAGAGCGGCCGCATCTCCGCTCCTTCCGCCTGTGCCTGTCGCACGGTCCGCAGGGCCCCGGGCTCCCGCTGGAGCGCTCAGCCGCGCCTCTGCGCCAGCCGGCACCGCGCTAATCTCTCCCTTCCTCCTCCTCCTCCTCTTCCTCCTCTCCCGGCGGCTGCCGTTGCCGCTCGCCGCTCCATCGCAGCGCCGCGCCCGCTGATCCGCTCTGACAGCGCCGGGGAAGGGAAGGGAAGGGAAGGGAAGGTCAGAGGCAGTGCCCGGCACGGGGCACCCCGCGGGCCCGGCGGGGCGGCCGCCGCCGCAGCCAATGCGCTGCGGGACCGGGGGGGCGCGGGGCGCTGCGCCGGCCGCCCCTCCGGAGCGGCCAGGAGCGTGGGCTTTAATCGTGGGCCTGGAACGGCCACGAGGCTGAGAAACCCGGCCTCGGTGCGTACACAACCATGCCGGCAGGCAGCGGGGTGAAGGACAGGAAGGCAGAGCGCGGGCAGGAGGACGTGGATGTGGGGCAGGAACAGCGGCACTGTGCTGTAGGACATGCTCGCCCCACCTAATTAGGAGGTACACTGGAGCCCAAGCACTTGCAAAATCCAGAACAGTAGGCTGGAATGTAATTTACTGCCCTCAGTTGTTGCATTGCCATTCATGCAGATAATATTTATCTTCACAAGTGCTGTTTTGGGACTGTGTCCCACACCATGTGTGCAAGTGCTCACTCACAAATTCACAACGTGTAGCATTTATACAACACGGCTAATGTAATAATCTCAGTTTCTCTTCAAACACAAGCAAGTTGAGGCCCATGCCTTTCTCCAAGGCAGAACATTGTAAGTATATTAAATTTACACACGTGATAATAGGCACAGGGTTGTTAAATAGCTAACTGGAGGTCACAGCAAGTGTCTGGGAGAAGCAAGAACAGAGTTCAGCTAGGGCATTCCTCATCTTAGAATTCTCCTTTCCTTAGCAGATGTTTCTTTTTTTCAGCAAGAGCTTAAGGCCTGTCTATTGTTCCTCTGCTGTGCTGAGGAAATCATTCAAATGAAGAGAGAGCTACTAACATTTCTACAGAGACCTCTGCTCCAACAGCACCTGAAGTGTGACATGCTCATGCTTGGCTATGCCTTTCATTTCATGATGCTAGAATAAAATAATTGCAGCCTATAGAGCCTGGATCCACAGGCTTTATTTACAGGAAACATTCTGAAGTCAGTATCTTTTTTTTTTTTTTTTTAATTATCATTTCAAACGAAGATCTATGATTACTTGTAAAAATCTGGCACCAGCAGTAACATCTAAAGATAAATTCCTGCCCTGAGAATACTGTTAGGTAAGTGGCCTTAATCCAGCTCACTGTGGACAAGTACCCACTTTATAAAAATGGTATCAAAATTGGCATTAGTTGGTATCCTGCTGACAGTTTCAGCAAAGAAACTCAAAACAGAGTTGTCACAGAGACAGAATTTTCTTTCCTCCTTAAGCTGGATTAGTTATATTAAATCATTGCAGACATTCAACATAGAGGATGGAGAAAGGTTTTTGGACATAATAGAGTGAAGTCCTCAGGGCCGCTAAACTGCTTCATAAATCCACAAATCACTATGCAAAAGAGTCATTAAATAACATCACTGAGAAAAAAAAAATCTTTGGTATAATTCTCTTAAGTTCATGCTCTTATATTATGTGTGAATTTGATCCCAAGTGTTTAATTTGCTTAAACTCAGAGGACTGGATTACACATAATATGACAGGTTTTCTCAACATAACCAGGGAAAATGGGAGTTAAGCCAACAAGTCAGGACTGCAGCAATCAAGGTCTGATTAGTTTTCAGTGCATTTCTAAGTAGCCTGCAGAGACTGGACAGTACTGCACCATCCCTGGTTTTCGAACTGATGCCTGTTATTACACAAGCCTGATCATGTATTCTTCGGAATAAGCCTGCTTATTCCAATTTACTGTGGAGAATCATAATTGCTATCAGTGAAAAGTTATGGATCAAACAAATGGGTTTGAAAGGTAATTAAAAATTTAAATGACACAAAATGCAATATCTAATAAAGCCATTTGCCTCACATATATCGTAATGTCAATAACCTTATTTCCATAACACAAACCCCAGAGAAATCACAGAAAGTGTGAAAGCAAAAAAGAAAAAAGTGGTATTTCCATACTTCTGTTTTTCTTAAATGCCAATCACTTGACTTCAGGGTAAGTTTTCTGTTTATTAAATGTTTTTGACACAAAATTAAATTGCTACTCATTAAGCACTGATTGGTTGTTCAAGGGAATATTTGTAAACATGCACACACATCATTCTTTGAAGAATTCAGTATCATGTTCCTTAATGCTAATATAAATACTTTCATTTAAAGATGGTCACATTTCCTGTTTCTGAAGATAAGTAATAAAAATAGAGAATAATATATAAGTGTTTATCTGTCAGTTTGACAATAGTCTAGCACTGTCTTTTTTGCTCTTCAAACATATCAAAACAGGAAAGAAGAAAGAAACTTTCATGCTGGAAATGGACTGGTGTCTGTTTTTGTTTTCTTCTGCTGTTGTCATTTTCAGGAATAGAAACTTTATTCCTGTAGCTGTTTGAAGATAAAAAAAGTGCTAAGCAATGCAACAGATACTAGTTACAAACTTTATAGGAATTGTATAAATAAAGAACAGTGCACAATTGTTTCCACTCCAAAGCATTGCCCTATCTCCTTACAACAAACAACCAACCCTGTGTTTCTTCTGAGTGTTAGACAAAGAGAAGGAAAACAAAGGACTATTTATAACCTAAGAGTGCTTATATAATTTATGTTGAAAGGTCAAAAAATACCTCCTGTGTTTAATTTTAGATCTGTCTTGGTGTCATCTGGTTTTACACTTGAACATTTCTATTTCTCTACATAAAATATGGACCTATTGTAAATATCCACCTTGGCTAGCAGAGGCGTGGATTTCCATAACATTTTCCATCAGACTTTTCAGAGTATTTTGCAAGCATTCACTCAGAGTTGTCAAATTATTTGGTGGCAAGTTAATATTAGCTTATTTTACAAAGCAAGAAAATTGCCAGCAGAAATTTAGTGACTTGTCCAAAGTTAACACAGGAAAGTTGGTAGCAAATTTGAGACTAGGATATCTGTTCATTCTGTGCTACAAAGAGGATATTGCACTTCCTCTCCAGAAATCTTGTAAAATTCCACAGAGGGTTCATTTATGTTTTTCTTGTAATAAGCTTGGATCCAGAAGTGGGTAATCATCAGTCAGTTTTGCTGAACAAATTTTTGGAACAGATCAAATTTAGGCTATATTTCCAACCAATTAAAAGGTCATTTTAATGGAAAAGGGAGTTAAAACAATACTAAGGTTTTCTGAAAGCATGGAAAATATATAAGAATTATGAGAGAATTCAGATATCTGAAATACTTGCAGTGCTGACAATGTAGGTTTAGAATTTTACAAATTTTAAAATATGTTTTGTATCAAATTTTAAGTTATGTTCTAGCAAAAAATAGCAAAATATCTTTAACAAAATGGCAAATGTGTAGACACAAGAATGAGAAATCAGGAATTTCCATGAAGTTTGGCCTCATTTCAGAACAGACTGGTGGATTTAGTACAATGCCAAATACCAGCTGCAGCCTATGGATTCAATCTGTGGCACATGGCTCATAGCAGGTCCATGGAAACCATTCCATCTGCACCTGAAGTTCTAATGGCAAGAGTGAGTCGTAGTCCATGAACAATTCATGGAAATCCATAGAAAATGTGGAGAGTATAAAACCAAATATCAACCCGACTTTGGAATTACTATTCTTCTTTAAGACTATCATCTTCAAAGCAACCCCCACCCAACATTTTGAAATTATCTGAGAAACTATTTCTCTTGATTCAAAATACTGTAAAACTTCATGTTTTGGTGACAGTATGACTTGTCAGGATTCTAAAGATAAAGCATGGAAATAAAACTGCATTAAATTGATCCCTGAATCTTGCCTACCTTTTGCTAGTTTAAGCATTTTACTAGTTGGCAAGTAGAGAATACCATCTCTTCATTTTTCTCAGAAATGACTACTATACAGAAGAAAACAAAACACATTTACAGCATCTTGTGGAATCCTCTGACTCCTCCCCCTCAGGGAAATCCCCAGAGCCTTGCCTTGGAAGAATACATCATAGAGTTTTTCCTACCTAAGCTGATAAAGAGGACTCAACCCATGATGCTCTACAGAACCACTGCCAATCTATTTTAGATTGGTCCCATTGCCCAGCTGACACTGCCCACCCCGATTATTCACCCCTCACCCCCTACAGGTTGCTGCCCTTTGCCCATCCCTGTGCCCATCCCTGTGCCCATCCCTGTGCCCTCAGGTCACTGGTCACTGACCCCATACTCAAGTATGGGGTCTGTGTTTTGTCTCTGGTCGCTCTGGCGGGGTGGGTGCAGTAAACCCTCACTGCAATATACCATGCAAAGACCCTTCCTGTCTTCGCTCCACTGAGATATCTGTGGTGTGTGTGTGTGCATGGACTTGAAATTGCTGTTCTTGTGGCCTTACTCTTAGCAGCTTCAAAGACTCTGAGACACCTCAAAGAAGGTTGCAGCATTTCTACCACCCTGCCACGCTGCAACAGCATCTGACATCATCTTTTTTTGGCCAGACATGAGATCTAAAAGCCCAAAGGCAGCAGAATAAGGCAGATGCAAGTACATTGATGTCAGTGTACCAAAAGCTGAGTAGATATAAGGGGTCTAAAAGTTCTCCAGTGAAAGCCATTCCATTCCATTCTATGAAGAAGCTGTTAAAGCCTCTGCAGCCAGTCCAGTGTGGATCATGGCCTGGAGCTGTGATTATCTCATTGTACCTTACTCCTGCCCTTTTCCTTCTGCTTGAGTTTCAAATTCACTGTGTTAAGAGCTTGCAACAGTGACAATAATAGAACTTCAGTGTACTGCTTCATCAGTTTAAATAATACTAACCTTCCCCACACTCACTACTCAAGTATAAACATTCCCACCTTTCCAGAAGGAAGACTCTTGGAGAATGGCCTCTTCATCAGGTATACTATTCAGCAAGGGAGCTCACTAGCAAACTTTACTGGCATTTTTCTTACCTATACAAAATGTGCTTTCAGGTGGAAAAATACTATTTAAATTCTAATCATACATATTGGCTGGAAAGAATTAACCAAAAATTTTAACCATGGAAGTAATTTATCAAACAAAAAGAGACTCACTGAGCAAAAAAAAAAAAAAAAAAAAAAAAAAAAAAAAAAAAAAAAAAAAAAAAAAAAAAAAAAAAAAAAGGGTTT